GGGGGGGCAGAGCTGTAGAGAAAAACAGGATTTACATGTTTCAGAAATAACTAAGTAAATTGAGTCTTCTCCTGCACTGTATAGCATAGACGAGATGGCCAAAACATCAATGCCCCATTGATAGAATTGAAACCTCTCCTAATCTGCTTTGTGTAAGCTGGGCTGTCAGTCATCATGACATAGTGGATGGGTTGGGCACAAACACAACATTTCTTAGGATGTCATGACCTGGCCTGCTTGCTAGCTGCCCTATTAGGTAAAGCTCTTTATTGTTAATTTTTAGTGAGGTCAGAAGCTCCTCATTTAACTAAAATCTGCTTTTGCATTAAAAGTGTTTTTCCAGCCATGTTTTTCTCCAGTTTTTTGTAGAGTGGAGAAGGGTTAGAACTTTTGACATGTTTTGTCATATTTTTATTGCTCTCCATGACCATGTTGGGAGGGTTTCATTTCACTTCCTTTCTCAGTAACAGTGGCCAGGGCATAAAATAATGGGGAAACTTCCAGATGCACACAGCAATAACATAGAAAATAGAGTAGAGTAGTGGAAGCTAGAAACCTGTATATTGTTGCTGTCTGGGCCCCATGAGGGATTTTTTCCATACTTCCTCTTTTGGTGACAAATTGTTTTTTTGGGTTATACGTGTTTTCGGTTTGTGGTACCCTGTAATATACATGAGCAACTTGACTGGAGGCTGCCAGCTGATATTTTACCTGTTGTCTATTGATATGTGTATACAGTATATATACATTCACTGTGGATGTTGATGTTGTTCTATCTGTCACCTTTATAAGGAATGCCTCTGTGTCCTCAAAATGTCAGTTTTAATTGTGATATAAGTTAATTTTCTATCTGGAATTGATCTGGGTGTGCTGGCTTTTTCTACCATTTAACCATGCACTCACCCTCAGGGCCGGCCTTAGGGGTGTGCGAGCCGTGCGGCCGCACAGGGCGCCATGGCAACAAGGAGGGAGCGCTGCCTGCTGTCAGGATGGCGGAGCGGTGAGGGGGAGAGAAGCCGCGCCCGCAGCTGTCAGGATGGCCGAGCGGGGAGGAGATCGGAGCCGCTGTCATCCTGTCAGTTTCAGGATGACAGCGGCTCTGTGTGTGGAGGCAGGGCCGGCCTTAGGGGTGTGCGAGCCGTGCGGCCGCACAGGGCGCCATGGCAACAAGGGCGCCGTGCGGCCGTCACAGCTCGTCCTGTGGGCGGCTTCTCTCCCCCTCACCGCTGGCCATCCGATATGACAGCGCTCCCTCGTCCGCCCCCCCCACTTGGGGGGGGGGCGCAGGAGGGAGCGCTGCCTGCTGTCAGGATGGCGGAGCGGTGAGGGGGAGAGAAGCCGCGCCCGCAGCTGTCAGGATGGCCGAGCGGGGAGGAGATCGGAGCCGCTGTCATCCTGTCAGTTTCAGGATGACAGCGGCTCTCTGCGTGGCTGAGCGGAGGATCGGTAAATATCAGTGATATTTACCGGTCCTCCGTGTGAGAAGGACAAACACTGGAGTGATCGTCTGATCACTCCAGTGTTTGTAAATAACTGGGGACACATAGCGCTATGTGTCCCCAGTTATGAATGAACAGCATGTGATTTACATCACAGCCTGTTCATTCAAGATTTCACCAATGGGGAGAAGCACTCAGTACAGAGGCTCCTCCCCATTCAGAAACAGCTGATGGTAAATATTTGAATGGGAAGCCTCTGAGAGCTTCCCATCCATTGAGTGCTGAGGCTGTAGAAAAAGAAATTGAGGATTTGGTGTCCTCAATTTCTTTTCTATTTTACAAGGGAAATGTCAGGGGTCTGTTTGGACCCCTAATATTTCCCCGAAGCCCCCCAACAGTAAAAAATAAATAAATATGAAAAAAATAATAAAAACATATTTTAAAAAAGTGAAAACTGCCCCCCCCCTCCCGCCACACACACACACATATTATTAGACAAGTGCGAAAGACAAAAAATTCATTTCAGATAAAATGAACGAAAACGAAAAATGTTTTCATTTGTTTCATCAAACAAAACACATTTATATGCTATTTTGGATTCAGCCATTGGCGTGCTCTGGAGGCAGGGCGCATGACGTCATATAACACCGCACGTGTTGGGCGCCGCCATCTTGGTGTATATCTAGGTATACACCAAGATGGTGGGGCCAATATCGGCGTGTGAGGTCACCTGACGCCACGCATGCATGGCGTCATGTAACGTCATGCTCCCTGCCTCCAAGATGGTGGCACGCATTCAGAGAACACGCTGGTGGCCAACATGGCCGCCGCACATTCTCAAACAAATTATTATTATTATGTGTCTGAATACAATACAGACCCCTGGCTTCATTTACATGTAGCCCGGGGTCTGTGTTCTGTTTTTTATTTTTACTTTTCTAGATGCACTTACTTGAAAAAAGGGGTCAGCATGACGACCTGACACTTTATTTTTATAGACTCTATTGTATTTTGACATTTATTGTTTACCTTGTGTTGTTTTATTTGATAAGAATACTTCTATTGTGCCTACAAGTTTAATACCTTTGAATAAAAGTTTTATTTTTATCACACTTTTTAATATGTTTCTTTGCGGCTTAACAAAATAGGAGTCTTTAAATGGTGCATATATTGGGGGAAATGGGTGTGGTTACGGGGGCGTGGCCACTAAAGGGTGTGGCCACTGAGGGGCGCTGTAAAGCTTTCTCGCACAGGGCGCCTAAAGGCCTAAGGCCGGCCCTGCTCACCCTCATCTATAGTTTGTAAGAAGTCTGTGCAGTATGGTTTGATGTACTTCAGGCAAAATAAATCCTGATGGAGGTTCTAACCCTTTCTCATTTTATTCATCACACACAAAAAAAAAAAATTCTGTCTGGAGTTACATTTTTTAATCATTTTCAAAGTTGTTTTTCAAATTTTTCTTGCAGGGTGGATCAGAACTCTCCAGTACTACTGGAAGATCCGCTTTTAGCTAAAATAGGCAAGAAGTACAATAAGACCCCGGCGAACATCGCTATTCGCTACCAGATCCAGCGTGGAGTGGTGGCCATCACCAAAAGTTATAACCCGGACAGAATTAAGGAAAATTTCAAGGTAAATTCTGCACTTCTTCATTTGTTTTGGCAAATTACATATTTATACATTTTGGGCTGTTATTGGAAAATAGTTCAATCTCCCCAAAAAAATGAACTCCCTTTACCGCCACTTAACGTCTTCTGCATCCAACACTTCTGGGGACCAGACTTTGGACACTCCCTGAAGTACTGGATGCAGAAGATTCTTCAGATATCTCTTCAAAGCAGTGGATATGAATTGTTTTCTTTTACAGTCAATGCAATGGGGTTTTTTTTTTAATGTCTTTCCCCTACCTTAACTTTCATAACAACCTGTCTGTCCTTTAATATGATGGCTAGGCTCACTGAACAATAGGGAGAATCAGAAGGTAGGAATGATGGTAGCAAACTCAGATTTTCCAGCTTTTATCTCTAGATCCACAGGACATTTTAACATACACTTTTCATTGAAGGTAACCTTTGTTTATGTATGTACTGACTGCTCAGTTTGAATTGCCCGCGCTTATGATAGATTTACCTTAAACTTTACACTTAAAAAATGTAATCAAAGTGAATCTCTACTTTACCCATTCAGGTAAAGTAAGTGGTTCATTTGATAACCCAACCTTTTTGGTTGCACAGGCAAGGGTATTTCATGAAGCTCTAGTGGGTGAATATGGTGGTGGGATATGCTGGGAAATGTTAGCAAGAACCTCAGGGGAGGGCCTATTAAGCAAACCTGTTAATTTGCCTTATATGAAAAAATTAAAAAATTACAGGTTTATATTATCCTCCACAATTCTAAAACTCTACCTTCACTGTCTTCCTCTTTGCCTGGTTCATGCTAATAACTGGTCTTCAATTCACAAGCGCCTCTGCATTTTCTTGCATGTGAACTATGAATAATTGTTTACTGAAGGATCCTTTTACTATTTGCAGGTCTTTGACTTTGAGCTGACACCTGAAGACATGAAAGCTATTGACGGGTTAAACAAGAACCTTCGTTATGTGGATATTCCACTGTATGTTTCCTTTTTTGGAATGTTTACAGTTTTTTAAGGGCTTGTTCATTCTGTAATGACAGTCAAATTGATGGTCCACCATGTCAATAACTTTTCAGACATCCAAAGTCATTCCCAACTTAACCCTTTCCCTACAGCACCTTCAAAAGATGTAATTTAGGTAGTACGAGTGACTTATACTGTATATAGAATGCAGGCATAAAATGGTAGCCAGTCTGGATCCATTGTTTCCTTGTTTCTTTTGCCCAGAGGATGAAAGATGGAATTTAATTGGGCACTATGGGCAATACAACTTCTGTATTTTTTTTCCCATTAGAAGATGCACTGCAGCTTCTATAACAAAGAATCATTTTGCTCTGCTGTTTTTTTTCTGGTCAGTTTTCAGAACAATGTTACGCTTGAACAATAGAAGCATCTTTATGAATAACAGCAGATTAATTTCCACAGTTTGGAATGCTTAGTGTTGGTTTATTACAGTCATATAATTATCACATGAGATAACCTAATCTTCCTTGCAGCTTACCAAAACAAATTGTTACACATGAACCCTGTGTGGTGGGAGCCTATCTGTTAGGGTACTTTTGAAAAGTCCATGACGTTGAGATTTGAATGACTATTGTAGCTGTAGTTTTCCCTATGGTGCACATTGCCAAAAACTCAATACACTCACTAGTCTGAATGTTAAAGTAAATAAACCTAACTTAAAACATTCATTTCCTGTTGGCCACACTTAGTTAAACATACAACATGTGACTGGGATCTGAGTTGTCTCAAATGCACATTTGCGCATTGCCCATCTAAGACCGCATAACCATTTAACTTACTCCACATAACCTTTGACTGTAAACATACTAGCCACAGCCTACATTATTGATGATGTGTACGGGGAAGTGTATGCAGAAATGGCCTCTTAGGACACTTTTGGCAGGAGATGACCAAGTCTGGAGCCTGCAAACAATGAATTCTATCTGATAAACAACAAGTAACAAAGATGTTTTTGTATGGTTTAGGAGAAATTATTGAGCAACACATAGGATTACCTAATGTGTATTTCTACTTTTACATTCACATTTTAGAAAACTCCACCATATGTTTGTTATGTGCTCCTAAACACAAGGCAAACCTAAAATTAATTTTTAATTTCTTATCTTTCCATACCTCCCAACTGTCCCTCATTTGGAACCAAATCCCTCTGTCTGTCTTTCCTCCTCAGTTGTCCCTCTTTTTTGGCCTGATGTACAGATATCTGTGAAAGGTTTCTATTTAACTACCAAAAGTGTTATTCTGCACTAAACCGTTCATTCTATCTCTTAAAGTGACACTAAACTTAAATCTTAAAAATAGATTCAAGTACCATAACTATAAACAAAAATGTATCTTATTTGTGTATCACTCGGCTGTAGATCCGCAAATCATCTGTGAATTGGTGCACTGCTGACACTGTTTCTTCCTTCTGGAGGGTGGCTACTTTTGTTCCCTATGGTCCCTGTGTCTGTTGTAAAGTAGCCACCGCTCCAAGCTCACTCCTGTGATAGACTATAATCTCATATTTGTATTGAGATTGTAGTCTATCATGGGAGCAAGCTTGTAATGGTAGCCCAAAGCCAATGAGTATAAAGTGCAACAATGTAATGATGATCTTGATACTGCCAGAGGCAAAGTGTATTCAAACTTATAGTGAGGCTTTCTGAAATCTGATTGCAAAAGTGGACATACACTTTAACCTTTTCTTATACTGTATGTCTAAAAAAATTTAAAAATAGCTGCAACACAGTAATCTTAAGTTGATAAATATTAAACAAATAGTTGTATGCAGCACTCATATACGGTATATAAACAAATATATATTGAAAAATCCCCTTAGTGGCAAATACAATGTCACATAAAGCATATTTGTTCTGTCTCAAGAGCTGCTTTATGCTTTGACATATTAAATTTGGACCTTGATCCTTCTGGGCAGTATGGTCACCAGCTGAACCAGCACAATCCACAGACAGCCTAACTCTCCAATAAGACACAGAAGGTTAATCCAACGTAATTTTACTTCTTAAAGCACATTACAGAGGATGTTTGCTGATGAGAGGAGCACTGTGTTGTTTATTTGAGGCATGCAAGTGCGCATCACACATGTGCCAAAATAATGTTGGAAAAACACTAGTTTATAGGGTCCTATGTTTCTTTGTTTATATCTAGAGGAAATGCATAGTGATTATAGCACACTAATTATGCTAATAACTTACAGAGGAACTTCAGAATTACCAAAATTGACCATAGCAGTGGGGCTACCCCTGCACTGCAGTGGTTAACGGCTCATTTTGGTCTATGAGCTGGATTAAAAAAGGATATACTCACCTGATCCTCCGTCCCGCCTGGCTGTTTAGACCGGTCCCAACAGCCTCATCTAAAGGGTCTAAGTCCCGCTGATGCCATCACATCTATAGCAGGTCCATTAGATGGAAGGACGCTGAAAAGCATACAACAGCTGGAGTGGAGGGGGAGAGATATGAATGCAAGACTGAGGACAGTTGAGTATTCTGTCAGTTAACCCTTGCAGTGCAGGGGTAGCACCGCTGTAATGGTTAATTTTGTTAGTAGCTGGAGTTCCTCTTTATTCTAAAGTGAATGCATAAAACAGTTCTGATTTCAAACAAATGTCAATCCCATCTGTTTAAAGAAGAAAACGTTTATGGAATCCCATCCCTCCAACTATCTGGCGCATGTAGCAGAATTAAGAAATTCAGAGGGGTGTGTTGTAATTCCTCTTTCAAAGAATGTTTTATTGGTCATTGTGAGCTGGCAAAGTACAACCGGTTCTGATTAATTTCCAAAGACCTTTAAGTCACTTGAGTAAGTTAAGTTAATGTGTGGTGCTTACACAGCGCCAGTTGATATGCGTTGCATGGCCAGCCTTACAATTTTTTTCCCCACACTTGCAGCAAGTCCTCAGTTGAAACTGAATACATTTAACTCCCTGTAAACTTGCAATACATTCATAAATAATAAGTCGACTCATCTCTTAAAGAGGAACTTTCCCCATATCTTCAAAATAACAACAAAGGCACCTTTAGAAACATTTAGTAATGACAATCTACAAACAGATTCTTATAAATAATCGCCAGCTTTTTATTCTTTGCATTCCTTGTTTCTCTTTTCCTCCCCAGTCTTCTCACAATGGCCGTTTTAACAAAGGGCAGATTAATCCAGCTCTCTTTACTTCCTGGAACTCTGGTACATGTGACTAGGACATGTGACCATGCACATAATCTCAGGGGAGGAAAATGCCTTTCTTTGAGATATCATGAGATTACAGATGAGATTTCCCAGCAATGCTCTGCTGATGTAACCTTCCCAAGATGCAACGCTTGGGCACGATTACATCATGTGTACCACAGTGGACCAGGAAGTGGAAAAAAAGAAACTGTAAGTAAAATAAAATATGTTTATTTAGCTATTGAATATAATATGAGCTTATATCAGCATGCAGAGCTGTATGGTGATGTGATTTTTAGTCAAAGGGATAAAGGTCCACTTGAAGCTGACCACACACATATTACAATCCTATTGTTCAACATCCTTTAAAATGAATACCAGCTAAGTAATGTGAAGTTCTGCTTGACTGGATTTCATTGGCAGCTGCATGACTTGCTCACAATTCTGTTATCTCTCTTCACAGATTTGCTGCTCATCCGGAGTACCCCCTGCATGATGAATATTAGGGGACATTTTGAAGTAATATCTAGGTCTCTAGACAAGATCTGCAGGGCAATTTTAAAGCCAATATGACTGGAAATACTGCCATGTCTACCATTAAACTACTTGTTTTTGTAGTTGGGGGGGATATGTTTGTCCAAATAGGATGGATACACTGTATGCATGTCTCTGATACACTATAATTAAAGTTAGTTAATTTAATAGAACTGTCATAATAGATAGTTACAGCTTTAGGTACAATCCATATCATGCCATTTCTTGTGCCTCATGGCCCCTTATCTCTTCATTGCTGTTATGACAACCCTTCTAGCCACAATGTTGAGAAAAACCCTCCTTTCTCTCTCTTCTTGGATAGTATAGCTCTTGCATAGTATAGCTTCCACTGTACTTCTAGGCAAATGCCAACATGGGCAAGGCTTACATTTTTGGATTTATATGCAACAAAAGATTATAATAAAAAGTTTTGCTTTTTTGTTTAAATACACTTTAAGGTTAGGTTTAGAGTTAGGGTTAGTGTTAGGGTCAATGTTAGGGTTAGAATGAGGTTTAGTGTTGGGGTTGGCTTTAGCGTTAAAGTTAGGGTCAGTGTTAGCCTTAGGATTGTCTTTGTTTATCAAATAGCCATTGATCCTCAGTTAAACGCTGATAATGGCGATCACTTGGCTTTATTGATAAATGAAGCCATGTCAGTATTGGAAAATTTGAGGCAATTTGAATGAAGTTTCACAAAGGAGAAGTCAGTAGTTTTTCAGTGATTCACAATGTGAGCCATCTGTCGTCTCATCTGAAGCTTGGAAATTTTCATGCATTTATGATTTTCATGCTCTACCGAGGCTCTTTCTCTAGATTCCTCATGTATAAAAATGTGATCCAATGTACAATAGAAGAAATGCTAAGGAACAGTACAACTATCTCACTATGATCATAATTAATCAGTGACTCAAAAAGCAATGTTGCCTTCTGAATAGTAATGGAAACTTAGCTACTTAAGGTGACCTTTTAAAAACTTAAAAAGTTTGCCTGCATAATTTTCTGGCATGTTACAATGTACGGCAACGGCATTTTTCAGTAAAGCTCGATCTTTTTGTCAATTAAAAAATAATCTTGTGCTCCGTTCAGTGACTGCGCCTAGGCTGAGATAATGGGGTTGATTAGCTGAAGGCAAATAAGCTGTTCACTTTGCAAGGGAATTTTCCTTTAACTTAGTTGATATGGTAAAAATTCACTTTGCCAAAAAATACCCAATCACGTGCAAGGAAAATAAAAAGCAGTATTTTTGGTTATACATGATTGAGTGATGAAAATGATTCATCCCAGTCCAAGAAGTAGATGGTGACCCTGGATGACGTCTGAACAAATATAGCACTATCCTTCTAGAGAGAAAAGCAGATATAGGGGTTCTCAGGGGGAGTTCTGCAATCTCTGTGAGAGGTGAAAAATACCTGGAAGTGTTACACTTACACATTACTTACAGTAGCTTGCATGTACTTAACATGAAAATACATATATGATAATAGGTCTGCTTTAAAGGATAGCTGTACTAAGGAGGCTCTCATCTCCTTCTTAAAGTGCTAGTTGCCTGGCTGGCTTGTTGGGTGGCTGGCCTAACAGTAAGGAGTTCATGAGTTTAATACTCACCAATAACACAACCTGCTCGGAATTTTATGTTCTACATGTGTTTGTGTATGTTTGTGTATGCTTACTCCAATGTCCTCCCTAAATTTAATTTTCCAACAGCCCAGTTCCAGCCATTACTTTAGTTTTAGTTCTGTTTTGAATGGGGAAAGATTACAACTCCTGTCAATTTTTAAATGCTCTCTGTGTTTTGGGGGTTTATAACCACCAACAGGCTTTAAAGTTGCTCTTGAGGGTTACATAAGTTCCTTTCAACTATTGTGAACCGGTTCTACTGCCAAAAAAATCCTCATTTGCCTAATTTTAATTTTTATGACATTTACCTTTTTTTTTTTTTTATTTCACTTAGAGAAAAAACTGTCATTTTCAAAATAATTTTTCCAAAAATCCCTAGAATCATCCATACTCACCACAATAATGTCTGTTAGTAAGTGACCTTTTATCACTGTTTGGAAGTTGACACAGGGTGCAAAATTATTCCGGGGACAGGTGCGTTTGAAAATTGTAACTGAGTAGGTGTAGTACCCTCCCTGCTCCAGGTGTGCATCTCTTAGAGCTAACAACTGCATTCACTGCTGGGTTTTATCCTAGGTTTTGTGACCACAGCCAATTGTGAATGGCCACATCACTAGGCAGAATTCTTTTAGGGCCAGTGTACCCTGTGAACAGATGCTCCTACAATGTTTATTCATGTGTCACCGAGCACCCTATGTGCTAAATAAACCTCTTCAGTAGTGCTCCTGCAGTTTCTGAGTTTTTCTGTGCCTCTGCCTCCACTGCCTGGTCCCCTCAGTCCATAGGCACTATCCTTGTAAGCTCTAACTGTCTAGTCTGACCTCTGACTATCCTGGTGCATTCTGTCACTCCTGGCCACTAGCTATCACAGTATGCTCAAATTGTCACTCCAAACCACTGAATATCCTGGTACACTCTTCTTGTCGGACCTGACCACTAGCTATCCTGGAACGTTCTACTTTTTGCTACTGACCACTAGTAGTGTTCCTGTTAAAGTCTGCTTCCATGCCCTTGTGTGATCCGTTTTCTGAATTATGCTCCTTCGAACCCTTGCAGCTGGGGACAGCTACTTCTTGAATGCTCCATTTGGCAAAATACTCTGCTTTTTCAAGCCCTTGCAGCTGGGAACATCTGGTCCTCTCTCTGCAGTGCCACCGCTAGCTAATCAGCTTCCTCACTAGCAGTCTGGCCGTTTCCGCTGGTGGTCCTATCACATCTTCCTGCTATGTCTGTCAGTATGTGGGAAAGCAGCCTGGGGATGGGATGCAGCTGAGGGAGTCACTGGTGATTACTGCCCATTTCTTAGACTCCATTCCTTGGCAATCCCAGTTGTAGTCAGGGTCCAAATTGCTTTGTTATGCTTGGTTTGTAACAGTGTGGGGACTTTCCAAACTCTCTCATTCTGTGTGTTGCCAGTTTCAGGCTGCTGGAATTCTTATCAAAGTCTTAAATTCCACATTGATGGCAACATGATAAACTTTTAAGTTCTTTTCAAACTGCATTTTGCAGATTGTAAAGTCAACACATCACAAAAGACAAAAAATATTAGAAATAGCCTAAACTTCACTACAGACTGGGATTTTAGTCATCTGACCTAATCGAGCCAGAACGGACCATCACCCCTCAAGCAGGGATGACTGTAAAATAAGCATGAATAATATACATGACATATTGGTCCATGTTTGATATATTCACATGACGTGTTAGGAGGCTGCAGGGTAAAATTGATTTTTCAAGAGTTGTGTAATTTGCAGATGAGTAAAGAAATAATGAAAATGTTTTTGGAACCAAGGAACCATGGCTAAAAGCTTCGGAGTTTAGGAACCTTGCGGGAACCAAGGCCAATAGGGAGGAAATCCATCATTAAGAAAAGTAAAGCATTTCCTAAGCCCCCTTTTTAAAGTGTTTTGCCTGGCCAAGATATATTGCTTTAATTATGAATTTCCGTAACTTTGGTTGGTATGTATTTCTTATACATTTTATTGTCATAGCTGATGGTATAGAATCTGGTACAATTTATCAACAGATGTAAAAATGGGCACTGTCAAGATCCTGATTTCAACATGGCAATGTTAAAGAAAATTTGAGCTCTATTTGAGTTTGTCAAATAGAGCTGACAATTACATCATGTTAAGGAGAATGATTAGCAACTAAAACCTACTATTAAAGAAGAACTCTGGGCATGTACAAAATTAACCCTTTTTAGTTAGGTTGCCCCCGCGCTGCAGGGGGAAGTGCTGGTTTTGGTGTATGGTCTAAAATAAGAAAGATATACTCGCCCGATCCGTTGGTCCTGTGCTGGTGACCGCTCACCTCTTCTCCTTCTCCGCTCTGGCTGTGCAATGTCCCTAGGCATTCTCAGGTTCAATGCAAGTGAATGGATGTGATGACATCACGGGTACTTAGACTGCTGGAGCCCGGGGGAGAAGAGCCAGGCGGGACCGAGGATCAGGTGAGTACATTTTTTTTAGTTTAGAACCCAGACTAAAATGAACAATTAACCCTTGCAGTGCGGGGGCAGCAGCACTGCAAGGATTCATTTTCAACATTTCCGGAGTTTGATATTAGCTTTTGGTTGCTATTCTGTGTAAATTGTCAGCGCTAAAAAAAATACCAGTAATAAATAAATGAATTCTTGTTAATATGATGTAATTGAACTCTATTTTTTATTTAAAGCTGAACTCCGGGCACAAGGAACATGCTTGTGTTATATAGCTTGCCTTAGGCACACACAATTCTTGTATGTGTACTGTGGGATTCCTGCAGCAAGAACCTAAGAACCTACAGATTTTTGAGGCAGGAATCCCAGGTGCCCCCATTCAGATTCAGCCTCTGTACCCAAACGGTTCGGGATAGATGATTGTCCCTGCACACACCATTCTTGTATCCCAGGACAATCATCTATCCCGACCCGCTTGTAATCGTGCAGTGCCCAGCTGCCGCTTTGGTGTTGGGCACATCGGTGTTGCAAGGAAGCAGTGTGTGTGTGTGCAAACACTAGGAGAGCATTTCCTGGCATGACTGGCCTTAAAGCCTATCTAACCCAAAAAGCGAAAATGTAATATATTGTAGCTTACCAATTCATAGGTGTGGTGACTGCATTAGTTTACTTTTTTTACTATATTTTCACCTGGTGAACCAGTCAGTAAGTCTGATATTTAGTAAGTCTGGATTTAGTATGTTAGTTGTCCAAGGGTGGCTCTGTTGCTCCTCCATAGAGAGGGGTCATTCTAAAGCTGGTTATACATTTTTTTTCTATCAGCCTATGGTCAGTTGTAAAAAGTGCAACAGATTCCTCCATCTCTCTGTGTGGATGGAGGAATCTCTAGGATTCTCTAGGTATGGCCAGCTTAAGATGGGAAATGTGTTACTGGTA